GCGAAAGGGCATCCCTTGTACTGCAAAAAGCTCAAGAAAATAAATTTTGAAATGTATTAGAATGTGAATATATGGATATTTTGTGTCATAACACCCCCTTTAAAAGTAATCTCTAAATGTTAGGCTCCAGAACTAACTCATAAAATAAATTCTTAGAAAATACACAAACCATCAATAATTCAAATATTGATGGAACCATGAAAGCACTATGAAGTCTCGAGTGAACCAAAATTTGCGACTCCCGGACTCCGCAAAATCACAAGTGAAAACACCACCCTCAAAAGAAGAGATACCAAAAGCTCTATATAATAAATTCCTTAAGCCACTTCCTCTTGTTCATGGAGTCCTATCATGCTATAATTCCTTCACTCATTGGATCGTACATGCCGCAATATACATTTGTTGATAGAGAAGAGATTGAAACAAAACAATGAGATTGTTTACCTTTGATGCAACAAATAGGATATAATCACCCATAACCATCGGATGTGAAATTGATCGGATGTGAAATTGGATGGTTGTGCAGATTTTCCATTAACCTAGCTCAAAGTTTGACAAAAAATTTCATAGACTATGTGGAGATGGGATATACCCACAGCTGCCTGAATTCACATCCGACAGCTGGGTTGATAGTAACCTTTTTGCTCCAACTACATCTGATAGCCCACACTGATACACTATTAAAATCCTAGTACTTCCCTCTCCATGCATACCACTTTAGCTTCAGTTGAAACCAAAAGGGCGAAACACCAAGAATCCCATGATTCAATCTGGGATCAAATACATTAAATCTCACCCGTTCGAGTGAGTCTAAGAGTACTTGTGCAGCCACGCCAGGTAAGAGCACCGGCACTGCTTCCTTTGGCACACCACATATAAGTTCCTGAGCCTTGTTAAGGTGAGCACTTGCAACTGAAGCCACCTCTAAGACTGCATTTGAGAGCTCCTCCCTAGGCTCTGGCTTTAACCTCCCTCTCTGTAATAGTAAGCCATGCTTAGAGGCTACCTCTAATGGTACATGCACAACCCCACCTCGAGATGCATGGTAAGGGATAGACTTTAACAAGAGGAGAAGCCCATTCGCCTTCCCTATATGAGATGCTGCATGATCGGCTACCGAAGATTTGATCCCACCAGCTTGAAGGGTCAGATAGAGAAGAGTAGAAACAGTATCCTCAGAATATCTCTCTAGCTCCTCTATTTTTGAAATTCCTTCTTGATTGGCATCGGAGATTCGGGCTTCAACTGATCTTTTGAGCCATGCTTTACTAAGTTTATTGTGGGAAACAATTGAGGAGAGGGCTATGGCCATTGGATGGTCAATAGTTTTGTGAGCGTAGATTTTGTCTATGGCTTCTTGCCACCATAGGAGGCGCATAAGGCCTAGCTTGGGGTCTGAGACCACATCCATGGTCCTCGAAGTCTCAATATTGAAGGCTCGAAGAGCAAATGCAGGCTTGCGAAGAGGGGGAGGGAGGTTGAGGAGGCATAGGTAGTGGTGGTAGTCATAACTTCGCACCTGTTGGACACAATAGGAGAAGGCTGCACGAATGTTGCTTGATGCAGGAGCCCCATTCATCAAAACCTCACTACCTGCGAAATCCAAGATTAAATAGAAATTCCGCGATTACACCTTAGATGTACTGAGAAGAGAGAGAGAGAGAGAGAGAGAGAGAGAGAAAAAAAGAGATAGGAGAAGGGGGACAGAATAACATGCTATGAGTTGCCTATGAACATTGAGCAAACTACAATGATGGTCAAGCTTATTAGGTCGTAAATAGATGGAATAAAACAGGAGAAACAAGAAGCACAGAGTAATCCATCACATTCACTAAAAGTTTTCCTGTGGTGACCAGTCGTCAACAATCAATACATAATAGGCCAACTCTCTTCCAATTATAAGTACAAGTTAACATTTATGTCTCAATAAGTTGAAGAAAGGTTACTTCAGAGCAAAGATTGCTAGAAGCTAAAGGCATTTGCAGCTGCCAATTCCTCCAAATATTGTTATATTCGCCGATTGGACCAGCCGGTTCAACCATCTAAATGGAATTAGATAAAGTTCTTAATATTTTTTATATTTTAAAATATTGCCTCTATTTCTTTCTTTGTTCTAAAATCAGGTACAACCGATTTGACAAGTAGTTAGACCGGTTTTGATTGGATCAAATCCCTCACCCTTTTGGTGGTCGGTCCAATCCTATTAACACTGTTATAGACTAAAGCATCGATAATTGGATCCATTGTGCACCATAAACCTATATAGCCGCACCTCAAACTCCATTTTTATACGGATTGTGAACCTAGAACCACGCCCAAACACGTGTGTAATCCATTCACTGGATTTCGAACTTCTAAACAACTCCAAATCTAATCAACCTCCTATCCATTAAAATGGTCAGCTCAGATCAGATTGTGAGGTGATTGAGATGAAGTGCTTTCAGGACTCCGAATCTTTTTTAAGAAGAGTCACCTTGGAGAGTAAAGGAATAATTTGGAGCTTTAAGGGTCCTCACCGTCCAAAGAGGCAAAAGAAGGTAAATGGAATTTTGAGCATGAAAAATAATGTTATGTGGAAATGAGATGGTTGACCATATTAAGAAAGTGGCAAAAGAAGTTTTACGAGAAACAAGAGAGAAAAGAAATTTCGACAAAAAAAAATCTAGTGGTTTAGTGATGAGATTCAAAAGGCTATTAGCGAAAAACGATCATGTTATAAAGCTTAGCAATATAATAGAAACGATCAAAATTTAGAAGAACATAAAAATACTAATTTAAATGCTAAAAAATAGTAATGCTAAATGTAAAGCATATGATAATCAATACAATAAGCAAGAGAAGGTGAAAAATATGACTTAAAACTAGCAAAAACAAAAGAGAGGAAGTGTACGGATCTAGATCATATTAGATGCATTAAGAGTGAGGATCAAAAGATCCTATAGAAAGATGACGAGGTCAATGAAAGGTGGAGAATTTATTTTTAAAAATTGTTAAACAACAAACACTATGGGAACACAATGTTAGGACGAAAATTTGACGTAAATGAGGGCAGAAGACATAGTTACATTCACATAATTAAGATATCTGAAGTGAAAGAAATTTGAGAAAGATGAAGATAGGAAAGGCTTTAGGACCAGATGGTATCCCAATAGATGTTTGGAAGTGTATGGGAGAGATTGACATATCCTGGCTTACCAAGTTGTTCAACAAGGTATTGCGAACAAAGAAAATATTAGATAAATAGAAAAAAAGTATTGTGGTGCTTGTTTACAAGAATAAAGGAAACATACAATTGTAGAGTGATAATGACACGGATTATTAGTAATCCTGTGTGCTAAATTGGTTGAGAATGAAAAAAAAAAGAGATTCTTTTTTTATTCTCGTCTTAGAATAACTCATGAATCCTAGTTGTTAAAAATATAAGAAGATGTGGGAACAAATAGAGTAAAAAAATATTGATTCTTTCTTCCTCCAGATCATGCATTTTTTGAAGAGGGATTGGTTCTATCATCCTGACGGGTCGGTAGATCTTGGGCCGAGCTAGATTTGGACCAGCATAGACATATCGCTAACGAATTTATAGTCCGTCCCCTTTGACCGCTCGTGCATCGACCCAGGAAGAATCAATTCTAGACTTTTGATATTGATAAACCATGATTAACTTTCTTACGTAGTACCTTACCTTACCCCCAGGGGAAGTCGAATCCTCGCTGCCTCAATGAGAGATGTCCTGAACCACTAGACGATGGGGGCAAACCGCCCATCGCCATGATACTATGATCAAAATATGAATAATTTTTTGGAATTGTCATTAGAATGTTATAACTAGATCCCAAAAATCTTTCCCGTGTTCGTCTCTATTATTCATTCACAAAACCATCATTCTAATACGAACTATCGCTAGATTAAACTTATGAGCCACACTATGAAATTGTGAGAGAGAGATCGTTGAGCAACGACTGAGGAGTGAAACGAGTGTATATCAATTCAATTTTATGCCATGGACGCTAACTATCAAAGTCATTTTCCCACTTAGGCAACTGATCGAGAAGTTCAGGGTAATCGTAAAAGACCTCCACATGGTCTTTATTGATTTAGAAAAAACTACACGATAAGGTATCTAGAAATTTACTTTAGTGGGTGTTAGAAAAGAAAGGAGGTCACCAGAGGCTAGATTGACATAGTGAGAGATATGTACGGGAGAGCACTAACTAGTGTGCAAACAACTAGTGGAGAGACAAGTGAATTCTCAGTGACAATGGGCTTACATCAAGGGTCAGCACTGAGCCTACATCTCTTTATTTTAGTTATAGACAAGTTAATCAGGCACCTGTAAGATGAGATATTGTGGTGGATGTTGTTCGCAGATGACATTAGTTTTGCCCAATGAGAATAGAGACGGCGTCAACACAAAGTTAGAACGTTGGAGGGATGCTCTACAACCTAAAGGTTTTAAAATTAGCACGACTAAAACATAACAGATGGAATAAAAGTTTTAAATAATAATAGGAGTAGAAACAAAAAATTAGTTACGATTGATAGTCAAGAAATATATAAAAGAGATTGCTTCCAATATCTAGGATCGATAATCCAGCAGAATGGAGAGATTGAGAAATATTGCATATAAAATTAGAGTTGGGTGAGCGACTTGGAGATGTGCATCTTGAGTTTTATGTGATCGTCCCATGCCATTGAGAGTGAAGGGGAAGTGCTATAAGACGACTGTAAGACCAGCCATGTTTTATGGGATGGAATATTGGCCGGTTAAAAAACAACATATCCATAGGATGAGTGCAGCTGAGATGAGGATGTTGAAATTGATGAGTGGCAAGACAAGAAAGGAAAGAATTCGAAATGAATACATACAAGAAAACTTAGGTATGATTTTAATAAACGATAAAATGAGGGAAAGTAGACTTAGGCAGGCTGGCCATGTGCAACGTACCAACATATACCTAATACAACACTAGTTAGAAGATACGATTTGGTTCAAGTGGAAGGCTCTAAAAGGGCAAGGCGAAGACCTAAAAGGACATGGATAGAAGTAGTGAGAAAATATATGGTGATTTCTTGTCTTATTGAGAGTATGACCCTTGATAGATAACAATGGAGGAACGTGATTCATGTTGCTGACATCAAATAATGAGGATAAGGCTTGGATGATGATGATGATGATCCATCTAGTCACCTTTTCTCTAAAGAGGTGGCTTGGAATTCAAATTTAGGAAATGGTTCAAACCTTACAACGCAAGATTGAACTAGATATATTATGCTTGAACCCAATTAGGAGCAATGCCACCTGAAGAGTATTGTGGAATCGTTACTTGATAATATTTGAGACAACTGGACACAAAACAGAATTAGATGCTTACATCATAGAATATCGTGTCAACAATTTCTAGCCTTCTTGAGGCCTCTCCTCCAACTCATAGTTCCCCAACAGTGTTTCAAAAAGCGCTAGGCAGGCCCTAAGCAGCCTGAGGGGTCCAGGCCACCTAGCTCCTAGGCGGGCGCCCAGAACCTAGACGGCTCAGCTGAGTCCAAAAAGAATTATGCAGTTATGTCAATTATATATATTGTATAAAAAATAAAAATTAGGTATTTAGGGCACATCATAATTCAAATTATACTACGTATTGTATAAAAAAATTAGTTACTTTGAGTTTGATTTCTCAATCTTCAAACTTCCACCTCAAAGATGCTTTAGAAGACTCAAAATCTTCCAAAAAACCCCCAATAGGTTTGCAAAATATAAAAAATTAAATCTAATATCAATGAGTGATGTTTTGATCAATTTTTGTTAACTTTGAAAAACCCTTCGATCCTAAAGAATTCACCAAAAACTAGTTTTTTGTGGGCTTTCTCTCTCTAAAATGGGCTTCAATAAGTTTTAGGTTTCAAATGAACTTAAAACCCCAAATTTTGGCTCTTTAGTATAAAACGAAATGGACAAAAAAATGCCCCCACCGAAACCCATTTCCGCCTCTGAACGGGGTGCAGGCCTTGGGTGTTGGGCACCCGCCTAGGCGGGTTCCGTACCGCCTAGGCGGATTCCATACCGCCAAGGCGGCCGCCCAGTTTGGCCGCCTAGGCTTGGGCGATGCGCCCAAGCCTTTCGGTCCGCCTAGGCCCTGAGCGGTCCGCTTTTTGAATCACTGTTCCCCAATATTTGGAACTTTGGATTCAACAATTCTTATTATCATAAGCACCCCGTTTCGAGGATGGGTCTTGACCCATGGAGGTATACTTGGAACAACTACAGTTTTACTACTCTCTAAATAATTCCTCTTAAAGGTCATGTTGGGCTTCTCAAATGATCAAAATACCTTGGAAACACCACTTCTCCAAGTAAGGTAACAGCTGGTTCCAAATGCACTACTACTCAAGAGACGTTTGAATCGAACATTTGATTTAGGGAAATCCAAATTTGCAACCTCCATCAATAAAAGAAACAGAACAAAAAAAAAAATGGAGAAGCACTTGTGAGAGCTTGAAGAGGGCTTCCTCTTAGGCGTCTCCCCTTGCTAGTTTCACTTGCTTCAGCGACAAGGGCCCCGCCCTCTTTAGGCTCTAAATCACGATCACAAAAGAAGAACTTTTGGTCCTCCTATAGGAGGACTCTAATAGCATCCTCCTATCCCATTTACTGGCCAATTTGGCTGTAACTTGTAGAGATATCCATGAACCAGCCATGTGATTGATGAAAATACCCTTTTCACACCATACATGGTCATTTGACGGCAAAAACCTTCATGGAAATCACCAATGGCCCACCTCACCTCGTCATTTTAATATTTGTTTTATCATCAATCTCAATTAACTAATAGACAATAAGAATAAAATGGGAGGATACTATTACTCACTGGCACTTATCTCCATCTCCTTATTTTGTATAAACCAAGCTTTGAATTCATTTGAATTCTAGCATGAACCACAAACGCAAAACTAGGTCCACTCAAGCCAATGGAAAGGCTCCCCACCATCTACAAACACAAGAAGTAGATGCGCTAATCTTCTGCATGGCATCAAACCTTTGATGAGATCCATTCCTTTGGCCTAGTGCCTGTAAACCATGGAAGACAACGATTCTCTCACCCATTGGATTAAATTACTAGGTTCACCTCCCACCAAAATTGTGATTCAGACCATGAATTAGCATGCTTAAAATCCTTAGAAGAGGGAGGAATATTCTCTTGGCATAAGCATTATGTACGTTGAAAAAGTCACTCTATAGGTGACTACCATAGAGTGGCTTTAAACCAAACCAAAAAAAGAGAAACAACAAAATGGAGTGAACCATCAAAATGTAAACTTCAAAATATGCTGCAATAGAAAACAAAAAACTCAACAGAAAAGAGAAATAATACACATAAATGGAGTGAAGCATCTTAATGCAACCAAATATTTTTCAATGATGCCATTACTTACAAGGATTGGTTAACAAATAGGGGTAAATATGCTGCCAAACCAAATAGATGTAAAGTTACATAAGAGATTAAAAATTAGAATTGTAGTTGTTGCGATGGTCTTCTAATAAGAAATTCATTGCCAAGAGCTAAAGAGCAATAAAAAAGGTTACTCTATAAGTCAAAAAACAATAAAAACAGTTACTACCAATTTTTTCATACTACAGAACACCGTATCAATATAGGTGCAACGGTATCACTATGTAACAAAAACAACTTCAGAAATTGCCCAAATCACACGGTATCACTATTTTTACAATAATAGTTTACATAAAGAAAGCATCTCAATTTACTCTTAGTGGTTTCATTAACGGACTTTATGGGATCATTTTTCTTCAAAATCTCCGACCCACATTCTAGAGAGAGATGGAGAGTCCACTAATTTTAATGGTAAAGAAGATTGGCTGAAGGCGTTTTTCACAGTCAGGGTGACATTGTTCTGTGATAAATGATTAATGACGTAAAGGAAATCTGGTTTGCAAAACCATGATAAACGGGGCGAAAACCCAATAAGAAAATATATGAAAGATCCCTTCTGTTTCCCAAATTCAATCAAAAACTCTATACAAACAGAAAAAACATTGCATCAGTAATTATCATAATCTAAATCACTCCTCGAGGGAGACTCTTTTATGCATCAACAAAGACCCAGAGATAGAAAGAAAGAAAGAAAGCCCATTCTTTTATGTAACAAAAACAACTTCAAAAATTGCCCAAATCGCTCAATTTTGTATTGCATCAAGAAAGAGAGAGAGAGAGAGTAGAACCAAGAAACATAATACAATGATATCTTAGAGAGAGAAAGCAGAGGCAACCCACTGATATTCTGTTACATTTTCCAGAGAATAGCAATCCACTGGTATCCTAGAGAGAGATGGAGAGAGTCCGAAATTTTAAGAGACAAGCAGAGAGACAGCCACACCTGAGATTTCCGTCGTTTAGCAGTTGGATCTGACGTTTTCCGGCGGATATGGACAACAGATTTTCCGGCGACTTTTTGCGACCTGCAGGGCTCGAGTTCCAGAGTGAGAGAAGCGGGGGCCCAGAGGGGATGGCTATGGATTCAGCTACGGTGTTTTGAACCAGAAAAGTTTGAGCACGTGTCCGCTGCTCCCTTGGGAGCATATTGTGTGTTTACTCCCTCAGTCAAAAGATCTACCTAGGAAGATTCTTGAAATTTGAAATTTTGGAAAGTACATATGAGTCCATGTACACCGCTTAAGCATGAAAAAATAAAATACATTTTAAAAATTAAAAATAATAATTTTATTAAGAAAGCATTTGGATCCGTTGCTTCAATTTTTTTTAGATAGACCATCTATTTACATCCATCTTTGTAATGGATACTTTATACCTTGAGACCGTATATTATAGAAATACGGTCCCGCCCACATGAAACAATTTTCTTTTTGAAAATCATATGAGAATCACTAAAAGGTAAACTTTAAAGTATGGAATTTTAACCTCCCCATCACTTAGATCTCACTTTTAAAAAATTGACGGTCTCTATTTAATCTTGAGACAGACATAGAGAGAAATTAGAATATATTTTTTTTTTTTAGGAAAAGGTTACGTCCCCAAAATTTGAGTTCTTAATCTTAGCATGAGTTTTATTGGAGAAATTTGGGTTCTTAATCTTAGCATGAGTTTTATTGGAGGGAGTAAATGGATTGTAAGGATTACAAAATCTTAGCCTTAAGTATTAGTTATTTTGCAGTTCCAGTCGAATAAATTTTGGATTAAAATGGTGGAAATGGGCAATCCCAACAAAACTATATTTTTGGAAATTTTTTTCCTCTGATCCAAAGTAGAGTGTTACGCGAGTTGAATGTCATATATCCATACTTAACAGTAGTGGTAGTACACCCAAACCTTAGTCACTATATTGTGGTTTTTATATGTGGTTTTCATTCCCATCACAAACACCACCCTACTAATAGCTTCAAAAAGCTAAACTCCTAATCTACTTGAAAAATGGGTAGGCGTTGTCTTCTTTTAAAGAAAGACCTATGTGATCTGTTAACGGGGATTTTTTTTTTTTTTTCCTTCTCCCTTTTCTTTTGGCAAAAGATTTACATGTGGTCTTGATTATAATAAGATAAATTTTAAAATAGAATCAGCATAACAATAACACCAAGATCTTAACAACTTTATATCATTAAAACAACTATGCATTATGTTTGAGAATAAAATATAAGATTACAAGAAATAAAAGGAAGAGTGCCGGATATTACCTCAACTGGGCTTATTATACCCCACGTCGAGTCACCACCATCCGATGGCGTGGGATCAACGGTCTAGTTTCAATCTCGAACTGAGAAAGAAAATTTTGGCAAAGCCACACCAATGGAACATGAACCCCTTTGATCACAAACTCAAACCCTATGTGAGTTCTCTTTGCAACCTAGTTTGAGAAAGATGGATTCTGTTTTTGCTAAACCCTAAAACCCTTAGCCATAAATCTATATTTGAGAGATAGGAAAAAACCTAAACCCTTAGGTTCTTTCACAATGTGGGAGAGAGAGATCAAACATGAGAGAGATAAACTTTCTTAAGAGAAAGAGATAGAAAGATAAGGTGTGGAGATTTTTTGGTACAGACAATCCATTTTTATAGGCTTTGAATAAGATTAGGGTTTCTTAGGGTTTTCTTTAGCTTGCCTCTTCTTGTGAGATTGAACATAGATCGTCGATCAAGGGTGACTTGTGAGGTGAGAGATCTGAGCTATCCATTTCATAGATATGCCATCAACATTATAGAATATGCATAAACAAATACCTCCTTTTCCTAAACCAATTTCTCATCAATAGAAATTAAACAAATTAAATCTAATCAAAATATTGTGTATACTATAAAATAGCACAAGTTTATTCAATCTTTTCACAAAATCTTTCAAAGATATATCAAGTCAATATTTAGTCAATATCTTCCAACCATATGGCCACGCGCCATATCACCAAAAAATAGGAACGAGAATAAGGGTCGGGCATGCCACCCAAGGAAAGCACTCATGGGCCCCACCTTCTAAAAATATGGCGGGCCCATGTGCACAATGGGCCCCCATGATATTTTTATATATGTAAAATTAATAAAAAGACTTTAAAATATTATTTGAATATTTAAACAATTGTAAAATCAATATCTTTAATTTTATAAATCGAAAAATTATAAATAAAACATCCAGGGGTTCATAAAAATTCAAATAATAATCTTAAAATAATTTTCATCAAAAAAAAAATACAATTAAATTAATTTGATGGAAAAAGTATCCATATGGTTTGGGAATCAACAATCATGAGGCACTCCACCTTCAACTGTGGACTACAGACCACACTTGCTTTATCAGACTGACCCAGTATTTCCCATAACCCACAGTCCAAGCAGGGGCTCATTAGCAGGTCACCAAAGTCCAACCGATGAGCCAAGGGATCACAATCCCAGTCTGTGGATTTCACATCCTCCCCTAGAGACGAGTCAATGTCACCTAGACCTGATGCGACCATAGCACTTATGGTGCATAGGCGTAACTCTTGCACACACATATGCTTCACCCTAAAAGGTGAATTTCTGGCTTTATTGAATGATCTATCGATATGCATGCCGTGTGATGGCACATGGATGAGGCTTTGGTCCTCCGTCTCTGTAGGCTACCATCACATACAAGGGTCACACAGTCCCTTGGCTCACTCATCCGGACATATTCTCTGACCTCATCAAGGGCTAACCCATTAGAACCCTTCTCGGTTTGTTCTTTATGCCCATATAACATGGGGTTTTCCCAACCGTTTGGCCTAGATCGTCAAGCACAGTCCGATATCGATAAACATCGTTTGTTTAGTATGGCCCACGAGGGACCACACTCCCACTAAATTCATGTTCCACTCTATCATGTCATTTTACAAGCACTCACCTTTAAAGGTCACATGACCCAACATTCCCCACAACATTAAAAAAAAAAAAAAAACAAAACAAAACAAAACATGACTTAATGTTCATATATTAAAGAGGCTTTTCCTAAATTAATTTCTTTGTTAAATTGCTTTCCAATTTTTTATTGTTCAAGAGAATCTTTTCTCTCTTTAGACTGAAGTTATAAGATTCAATTCACTTCAGCCGAGTTCTTTTGCTTTTACACCCAAATAGATAAGGGCATTTCAAAACAAAGGATTCAAGGTTATTTAGGTTGTTTTAGGTTTTTCAAAAAAAAAAAAACGAAAACATCTACGGGAAATTCCAACTAATGTAAAAATTGATTATTTTGAGGTAAAAGTTTATGAGGTGTTAACTTCATACCATTGAAGTAAAGTGCATCTCAAAATCCTCTAGAAAGTTTCCTTATTGCTAATCCAGCTACTCTGGATTGTCAATTTAGATCCACCCCACCAATCCATGTTTTTAGATACTGATTTCAACTATTGGAGTAGAATTTTCATTTTTTAACACATTGATTTCAACTATTGTAGTAAATTTGATAGGATTGATTATAACAATTCATGGAATCATAACTGTAATATTTGGCCTTAAGTCTCCATATAGAAAAAATTGACCCTATTGGTGTCTCTCTCCCTTTAATCTTACTCATGCAAAACTTTTCAAAGCAAAAGAGATCCCCGGCAAGATATCAAGAGAATTTTTGTCCCTTTTTTTTCAATGTTAAAAAGTAGAATTGGAGTCTTAGACGTCATGTCGACATACTTGCCCCTGAACCACCAATGCACCAATCCCATTCCCTCAAGAGAAAATTTGCCTTGCTTTTTTGCAGAACTTCTCAAAACAGAGAGATCTCTAGTAAGAAAGAGGAATTGAGTAGAAAAAATTCATAATTGCTTTCAGCTAGGCTTTGAAAAAACACTCACAATCAAAACCACATTTCTCTCTCTTGAAACCCCATTTTAATGGTCTAACATCCTTGAAAGACCAAGAACTCCTTTAAGCTCACAACCAAGGTTTTGAAGTTCGGTGGTTTAACAAAAAAAAAAGGGACCGAGTTGAACGGGCAAATGCCGGGTCCGATTTTATACGGATATTGGTACTCGGTCTTATACACCCATAAATTATATTAATGTAGAATTCTAAATTTTGACCATAATAAATCTATCTTTTTTCAATATAACAAATTTAGAACTTGCATACACTTTAAATTCCGTTTTCATTTTTTTTTTTTTGTTTACTCAGACTTAGGTAGTTCGAATAAGAAATGGTGGGTGACCGTTCGACCCATTTGTCAGAATTTTTAGATATTGGTAGCAAGTAACTCCTATGAACGAGCTAAAGATTTGCGAAATTTAGTGCGTGTTTGATAAGTGGAAGTTTTTAGAAGTAGGAGTTAAATGTCTCACTTTCATATTTGATATTACTGTGTGGAAGCTATAAAACGCAAGGGCCAGCTTTGTTTTATTGTTAAAATGGGTTCAATTTTGGAAGACCTCTCTTCCATAAGAAATGATGTCTTTCATAATTTGTGCAGAAGTCCCTTCCACTCTCCAAAACTCCATGTTTCAAACACACCCTTAGGGAATTTAATGGGAGGACAACTGTGATTTTGCAGCTTTTCTTCAAAAAATTATTTTTATTAGGTCTGACACCGCCCAGGCTGCTTAGGCCATGACCCTGGGCTAGGGCTGGCCACCCTTTGGGCCAAGGTCAACTGAGCCACAACTTGCCTATTGCTAGGCTTACTTGATTCCCTATTGTAGATGAAAAAACTAACGTTTGAGAAAAATAAGATGAAAGACAAATAGCGACGAAAATGAAATAGTGAAACACAAAGATTTACATGGTTAAGTGATTGGCTATATCCATGAGACAATAAGATTTTTTTTTATTACAAATATACCATGCAAACATGGAGAATACAAGAGCTTACAAACTCTCCTACAAGCCTATTTGGGATTCATTAATCTTGGAGCGAAGATCAATTTGGAGCTTTTTTTTGTTTGAGCTCCAAATTAGATTCTTGGTCTTAGATTGACCTTGTGGAAAATAAATATGAATTTAGATATTTGGTATCAAATACCATTCCCCCAACACGGCGGAACCGACAAATTTTCTTCCTTCAAAGAATAGCCGAGAAAAATTTTAGAATCCCGGATACCCAGTCTCAAAAGTTTGCTAATTTCAAGAAATGAAACACATTCCGAAATTAGGAAGAACTCTAAAAGGGTGCAGTTTCTATTAGGTTGCAAGCTTAAACAATCCAATTACGGCACCTTAAAATTTTATCATAACATGTACTTTTGTTGTAAATTTTAAGATTCAAAAAATGGTTAAAATTAAGTAGGTCTATAAATATATGAAAATCTTAAAAAAGGACGGTCTAGATAATATATTGCAAGATGCACTATTTCTGAAATTCAAAAACTTTTTTTTTTTTTTCATATTCTTAGAACTCGATATTTGATTAGAGGGCTTTTTCAACATGAAAAAAAATATTTCCAATAGATTTTTGCGGTACATCTGTGATTCTACATTTTAGGATTGCAACCTCATATAAACTTTTCCCATATTAAAAAGAGAATAGAAGTTGTGCCAAAAAATGCCCGGGTCATTTCACCGAACTGTCATTGACTATCTGAAAATAATCATTTGAACGTATCATCTTTTGTTCCCCCCCAAATTTTACTATAGAATTATATACTATGTATCGTCAAAAGGAAAATTGTTTCATGCAAGCTGGATTGCATCTCTACATGTGCGGTCAAAGCATCCGTGCGACTCGTTCAGATCATGAGCTAGAACGAACTAAATGATTTTTCCAGTAGCAATGAATAGAATGGAAGAATTCCATTCACTATCTAAAAAGATCTATCATAAACCCTTATTGCTTATGGAATTTATGGTTTCCATTGGTGCAAATCCAAATCTCTTAACGTGCAAATTGGTGGTCCTTCTAAAAACAATAGAAACTGACGGTCCAAATGTTTTTCACGAGAATTATTATTTCTAGTTTTAAAATTTATTTATTTATTCATATTCATGATCTCCACGATTACATGTCCTTCAAAATAAAATTTTAAAATCTATCTCAAAAATAAATTTATTAAGAGGTCCACGTTTCTACATATGCGGGCATGGCCGCATAGAAACAGAGTCCCATACTAAATATGTTCTAAATACTTGTACTATGGCCTCAGTGGTTTTCAGCAGCTCTCTCTCTCTCTCTCTCTCTCTCTCTCTCTCTCTCTCTCCAACAATTTCATCATTTTTTCATCACACATTTCATGTGACTTGGGGCACGCTATTGTCTATTGGCATATAGCTTTCTCTTTTTCTCCAAGAAATGGAAGAATGCAGTCAGACCAGCTTCCTTCTGTTACCTTCATCCCGCTATTGTCAATTCGCATATATCTCTCTCAAGAAATGGAAGGATGCACTCAGACCAGCTTCCTTCTGTTCCATTAATCCTTTTTGCATGACTTAACATATATTTCAATGCCTAACTTAAAAAGTTAAGTTCTACTAAACCACCTACCACAAGCATCAAACTCTCAAGTCTCTTTTATGAAACAGAGCAACAAACCATCTACATTTGTATTTAAGGTCTAATACACTGCCCATATGGTCCAAGCTTCAGTTTGAGCAACCAAAAAAACCCAGATCCTATCTACCGTCTCTGTGGTCTTCCACACAAGAGGAGCATTTCTTCTCAGAATTTTTTTGAAGTGAAAAACCATACTGCTCCAATGGCTATTGAGGATTCTCATAATTACAGTGTCAAAGGAAACAAGGGTGCCTTTAGTATGACAAGTGACAGTAACTTCAATTGGGTATACGGGAACTGATGCTTGCTCTATATGGCTGTGACCATTGAAGTTTGGTATATATGCGACCAAATTCATCTGCATGGAGCATGGAATGGTAAAAATGCCAGGAGCATCCAGCCATAGTTCCATATGGGGAGCAATAGCAAATCAGGTAACAGTAGGAGCCTTCAGAGTGAGGAAATCACATGGAATTGGAGATGAAGTTCACCACCAATTTTAAAGCCAATACCACCATCAAATGGTTAATGCATTTCATGAACATGGGTTATTTCATCCTCCCCTTCTGGTTCATTATGTCATGGTAATAAAGAAGGACGCACATTGGTTGTCCAAGGATGCAGAAGAAGAACCAAAAGATCATATTTCCGACCTGGAGAAGCAAAAGAGAATTTAAGTAAAGTGTCTAGAATCCATCCATGTAGGGTTCATAAATATCAAAATTTTCAGTTGCACCGTGTGTGTTTGTGTGCATCCACAGTAAAATGGGTATTGAAGTTTCATATTCAATTTCCCTCTCGTGACTCTTCTCAAGCATTAGGTTCTGGAAATGGATTTTACAATGGCAATGGAGAGGAAACCATCAGATTGTCACAGTGCAACTGACAAATAGGTTCATAAACCACAAAAGGCAGTCTCTAGAAATGCCATGCATCATATTTTCAGTTTCCATATTTCTCCTTGATTCTTCCATTCATTTCATGTCATCGCTGCACTTATTCAATTTCATGCTTGATCTTAATCTAGTTGTGGACAATCCACCAAACATTCAAATGACAAATTTCTTACATTGATTTGATATCTCAGAGAGCGCAACAGACAAATGCGTAGGGGACACCAGTTCTTCCCTGTCCATAAATTTTATGGGCAAGAAATGAGACTATCTTGTGAAACGGGGCTAGCCATCTTAGCTAGTGGAAAGGCATGCATTTAAAATTAAATTAATAAAGTGGCTATCACATGGGAGGATGTGAGAGGCCTAACAAAACTTGAAGCCATATGGGGGAGATAATCTCTTAAATTGTGAGGGTTTGTTAAAACTTTTAACCATATACTTAATCTTCATACGTCATTTTGTCATAAAAAACAACGTACATTACAGGCATATGTGAAGTGCAAGAGTGTCTCTCTTAAATCCAACTTCCAACAATTCAATTGCTCATTTCATAAAGAGATACAGCTGATTCGGCTAATTGCAAATCTGCTGAGCTGCAAAATAGAAGTGTTAATGGTGGGAACATGGGAGATGTGAGCAATTGAGCATCTGCATCATTAAAACCCATTGCATCCCCAAAATTGACAGGCTTTTGTATACATGCATAGATGACTTTATGCGTGCTATGTTTTTGACAAGTAAGAGTGGGATATAAAATCTAAAAACTTGGGAGTGTGCACACTTCGAACCATGTTTGCTTATTGTACCCATAAACAATCAAAGACAAACAGATACTAAGAACCATGTTTGCTTATTTTACACAAACAATCAAAGACAAACCGATGCTAAGCTTAACACTTGAATATTAAGTTCCATGCTATTTAATCTTCTAGTTTAATCTTCTAGTGGCTTATTTTACCCATAAACAATCGAAGACAAACAGATACTAAGAACCGTGTTTGCTTATTTTACCCATAAACAATCACAGACAAACAGATACTAAGCTTAGCACACGAATATTAAGTTCAATGCTATTTATCTTTGAGTTGCTAACAGTTCAGATTTGTTGACATTCTGAATTTGCAAGCTTTTTCCTAAAGAAGTTCTAGATATCCTAGTCCTATCTGATGATATCATCATAGGATATTATTTTCTGATAGTTGATACCATACTAAGTTATCTCCATTGGGAAGTTCTTAAATCCAGCACAATAAGCCAACCACAAAGGGAATATCTTGTACTGAACGAAGTGCATACCATAGCATTTTGGAATTTATTTTGCAGATAGTTCGTAAGGATCACCAAAGGAACCTGTTTATAAAACAACAAACGTGTTTTAAAACAACAAATACAGCCATAATTGCACAATAAAACATCATATTAAAATTTTCTTGTCAAGTAAACTAAATTAATAGAATTTTTTCCTTGATTGAAACTAAATTAATAGAATTTTTTGCCTTGATTGAAACTAAATTAATAGAATTTTTGCCTTGATTGAAACTTAATTAATAGAATTTTCTTGTCAAGTAAACTAAATTAATAGAATTTTTGCCTTGATTGAAACTAAATTAATAGAATTTTGTACCTTGATTGAATTTTTGCCTTGATTGAAAAATATTTATCATGTACGAACTCATGCCAGAATCCAAGAATAGAAAAGAATCCCCAAAAGAAAAATCATATACATGAATCCAAATGGGTCACAATATATTACCAAATGGTTTTAAATAAATCATATAAATTAGTAATGCAAAGGGCGATGAAAGAGCCATTTGAATGAAAACCCAACTGTACTGGGAAATGCATGACATCATAATCATGCTAAAACTGAAATGCTCGCTTTTTTCAACATTGGCTATAGTATCCTAATCACCCTATCAATAGCAGACACAATGTACATTTTCTTGGAGGACACATGATCATGCATGTGGGTCTTTATTTGTGCACACATGTGCATGCTCATGTTATCGGCACTCTCAATTTCGACAAAACCTAATATACAAACTTCAGAGTTCAGCCCAATTAGGTTTTTCTTTTCTTGAATGAAAAAACAACTGATAAAGAGAGAGGTTTTCTAGGACGGAAGGCCAATATGCAGCTAGAGGTGTTTATTCACATGACCAAGCAAAGTGTAGGGATACGCTGTTGATGTGATTAGTGCTAGTCAAAGTGATGCAGTAGACAGAAGATAAGACTCAAAATAACTAGGAATCTACTATATCTCAAATCAACTCATCAAGTTTGAGCAGGGCAAGATTGATTTATTTGTAATCTGAAGTTCAATATTGCATGGGCACATATAGTATTTCTTAAAAAATATGCAGATGAAGAGAGTCTGATGTCGCAAGGACATATATATAGTGAGACATGCAAGGTCATATATGCACCATACACGTATGGTGTAGCAAACAATGTTTTGTATGAAAAAGAGTACTACTACACCATAACATGTATGGTGTAGCAAAAAATTACAGGGTAAAAGAGCATCTTTATCTAAGGAGGTATACATTTCTTGTATGGAAAAGGCTTGCATAATTATGGTTTGTATCAGGAGGATGCTTCCTATATTGCAAGCTCTCTACTTTTTAACATTACAATTCATTTGTTTCAAGAAAGAGGGAATTTTACAAAAAATAAAGGCAGCCACCCTGCAGTAGCATGTATCTGGATACAAGTACATGGTTTCGAATTTGAAGTTTTAACTAGGTCTCTAATCCAAGAACAGGAGGCCTCCCTGGAGCAGCCGTTCACTGAAATTGACATCCATAAGGCTATTATTGATCTCACCAAGACAAGAAACCATGACCTGATGGGTTCCCATTGGCCTTATTCAACCTATTCTGAGATAACTTGGCACCTGATGTATTGGCCTTTTTTTTATGGAATTTTCCATCATGAGGTTATCAACATGGATGAACTCTAGTGCGACAAATCGTGTCGGCTCGACCAAAATTTTAGAACAAATTTTATCTAAAATGTGTGAGCTCAAATTTTAATGTTGGAACAAATTTGATCTAAACTGTGTGAGCTAATGGCTGTGGAAAGTTCTTATATGTTGGAACAAATTTTATCTAATCTGTCATTTTTCAGTTATACAATTGCTCCCCATTATTTTAGCAACAATTGCAATTATTATACATCCCTAAAGGAATGATTTAGTTGTTTGGACCTGATTTACCTGTATGTGTGGCTTCAAACATTGTGCACCAATGCACACATATGGAAGCTTCTTTATTCTTCAAAATCTAAAACCTTGTTTTGGGCTCTATATGGAAACATTGCAACTAGAGCTGCCAACAGGGTAGGACAGCCCACGGGCCACTGGGCCGTGGCACACACTAAGGCCCATGGCCCTGGCCCAGACCAAGCATACTAGAGCCAATTACTATCCAGATAAGCTCGGGAAAGCCCTGGCCAGGCCAAAATTGCTACAGAATTGTCATCTAAAATTTATAAGTCCATAGTATGGTCTGTAGTCCACATACTATAGCCTATAGATTGCAGGCACCATATAATCCTTATAGGACCCATAGACTATAAGTTGATAACTGATTAACCATTTTATCAACTTTTAAAGGTCTAGACATATTGACTTTCCATTGTCCATCTAAGGTGAAATAAACTAGGAGGCCCAAATTTGAAACTCTAAGAGGCCCAAATTTGAAACTATGACCTCTCTCTCTCTATCTCCCCACCCCCCCCCCAAAAGGTGAAATTCTCTTTTGTTATGTTTTTGAGGGGTCCTAGGCAGTGTTACACGGACATGGGTATCGTGTCTAGTATGTATCTCAGGTCTCCAGTACTTCGGCTTGAAAACTTAGCAAGGCCCTGACAAGTCTGTACAACCATACCTATATAGGGAATGATTTCATCTAGGGGTTTAGTAATAATATAATGAAACGCATCTTCAAAAGCCTTGTTAAGGGCATTCGTTTCACCCTAAGTTTTAAAGATACACCCTTGTCATTCTGATGAACAATCTCAAAATATCATCATCATCTAAACCTTATCCCAACTATTTGGGATGGTTAGTTACACGAATCCTGTTCTGCCATTCTGCTCTATCAAGGGTCATACTCTCAGCGAGACCATAAGTCATCATATCTCTTCTCACTACTTCTATCCATGTCCTTTTGAGCCTTCCCCTTGTCCTTTAAGAACCTTCCACTTGAACCAAATCTCCCCTCCTAACTAGTACTATATTATGTTTAAACTGCACATGGCTACCCCACTTAAGTCTACTTTCCCTTATTCCTTCGGATGTATTCATCAGGCTCTATCATTTCTTGCCACTCATCCATCTCAACATTCTCATGTTAGGTACATTCATCCTATGGATATGTTGTTTCTCAACCGTGAAACATTCTGCCTCATAAAGTATGGCTGGTCTTACAATAGTCCTATAGAACTTCCCTTTTAATCTAATTGGTATGCGGCAATCACATAAAACTCTGAATGCACATCTCCACTTTGCCCACCTGGCTCTAATTCTATGAGTGGAATCTTCCTCAATCCATCCATTTTCCTGGATTATCAACAACAATCTCAAATAATACAAACTTTAAAATGCATCCTAAAAATTGGACATAGACCATCTAATGAGCATAGACTGTCCATTTTGGATGAGTAGATCAAGGCCTTAGAGTGATAGTTTTTTAATACCAAACTTTCTAGATGGCGCTATCAACATTAGATTAAAAATTTTTGAAATAGAAAAAAATGTTTTTGAGTTCTCAAGACCCAGATCTCAATGTCCATCAAATGGACACTTTGAATTCACTGTTGGAGAGGGATTCATTATGACATTTTCTAGGGTGCAAATTCAACTTTTTCTTTTTTGGATTCATTGTTGGGATAAAGAGAATGTATGTTAAAAAATAGGGGTCATACAAATGCCATCTCAAGGAATTAAGAATATAACATCTAACATATGTCTTGTGAGTGATTATTGTAATAAAATGTGCAACACTTTCCTGGTATGTATTGCCCAACAACAAAACCACCTGACACATATGGTCAACATGTAGGGCCTGCGTCTATAGATATAGGCATGTGTCTAAGTTTCGCATGTGCCAACAGGTGACACAATGGGCAAATTGTAGTACTCTGGTAACACTAGTCCAAGGTAGGAGAGTGAAACAATGCCGATATACGTTATTTAGATATGACATGAAATGTTATGGTGTTCTTGAGGATGTGGAGAGAGAGAGAGAGAGAGAGAGAGAGAGAGAGAGAGAGTACGTACGTACGTAACGTAACGTAACGTTAACGTTAACTTACGTTAAGTTTAACGTTTAACCGTAACCTTAAACTTAAAAGTTAAAAGTTAAGGTAGTTTATTACGTTACGTTACT